TATCCTGGGAGGGAGGTTTGCTAGAGCTGTACGGGATGGTTTAAACTAGTTTGGCAGGGGGTGGGGAACCGGATTTATAATTCAGAGGATGAGGTATTCGGCCTTCCAACAGACACAACAGGGAGTGAGGTTGTGTATAAAGAAATACGGTCGATGGAGCGTAATTGCGGACACCGAGATGGTTTGAAGTGTGTATACTTCAATGCTAGAAGTATCAGAAATAAGGCGGATGAACTTGGACCATGGGTCAGTACTTGGAACTATGATGTTGTGGCCATTACAGAAACTTGGGTAACTCGGGGAGAGGAATGGATGTTGGAAGTTCCGGGATTTAGATGCTTTAATAGAAATAGGGAGGGTGGAAAAAGAGGTGGGGGAGTGGCATTGCTAATCAGGGCTAGTATAAGAACTAGGAGCAGGAGTAGGCCGTCCGGCCCTTCGAGCCTGCTCCGCCATTCAATAAGATCATGGCTGATCTTTTCGTGGACTCAGATCCACTTACCCGCGTTCTCACCATATCCCTTAATTCCTTTATTGTTCAAAAAAAATCTACCTTATCTTTAAAAGTAGAATCAACTACTTCACTGGGCAAGGAATTCCATAGATTAACAAGCCTCTGGGTGAAGAAGTTCCTTCTCAATTCAGTCCTAAATCTGCTCCCTCTAATCTTGAGGCTATGCCCTCTTGTCCTAGTTTCACCTGCCAGTGGAAACATCCTCTCTACTTCTTTCTTACCTACTCCCTTCATAATTTTATATGTTTCTATAAGATCCCCCCTCAATCTTCTGAATTCCAATGAATATAATCCCAATCTACTCAATCTCTCCTCACAAGCCAACCCCCTCAACTCTGGAATCAACCTAGTGAACCTCCTTTGCACCCCCTCCAGTGCCAATACATCCTTTCTCAAGTAAGGAGACCAAAACTGCACACAGTACTCTAGGTGTGGCCTCACCAGCACCTTGTACAGGTGCAACATAACCTCTCTGCTTTTTATTTCAATCCCTTTAGCAATGAAGGACAAAATTCCATTTGCCTTCCTAATTACTTGTTGTACCTGCAGACCTACCTTCTGTGATTCATGCACAAGGACACCCAGGTCCCTCTGCATGGCAGCATGCTGCAACTTTTTACCATTCAAGTAATAATCCTTTTTACTATTCCTCCTACCAAAATGTATGACTTCACATTTATTTACATTGTATTCCATCTGCCAGACCTTTGCCCACTCACTCAATGTATCTATGTTCCTCTGCAAAGTTTCACAGTCCTCTGCACACTTTGCTCTGCCACTCATCTTAGTGTCATCTGCAAACTTTGACACCCTACACGTGGTCCCCAGCTCCAAATCATCTATATAAATTGTAAATAATTGCGGTCCCAACACCGATCCCTGAGGCACACCACTAGTCGCTGACTGCCAGCTAGAATAGCACTCATTTATCCCCACTCTTTGCTTCCTGTTAGTCAACCAATCCTCTATCCATGCTAATACTTTACCCTTAATGCCATGCATCCTTATCTTATGCAGTAGCCTCTTGTGCGGCACCTTGTCGAAGGCCTTTTGGAAGTCTAGGTACACCACATCCACTAGGTCTCCATTGTTCACCTCGCTCATAACGTCTTCATAGAATTCGAAAAGATTTGTCAAGCATGACCTGCCCTTCATGGACCAATGCTGCGTCTGCCCAACGAGACAATTTCTATCAAGATGCCTTGCTATTTCTTCCTTGATAATAGACTCAAGCATCTTCCCCACTACAGAGGTTAAGCTAACCGGTCTATAATTCCCCATCTTTTGTCTACTTCCCTTTTTAAACAGTGGCGTCACATTTGCTGTTTTCCAATCTGCTGGGACTGCCCCAGAGTCCAGCGAATTTGGGAAAATTACCGCCAGTGCACTTGCTATTTCTCCTGCCATCTCTTTTAGTACCCTGGGATGCATTCCATCAGGGCCAGGAGACTTATCAATCCTTAGCTCCATTAGCTTGCCCAACACTACCTCTTCCGTAATAATGATTGTTTCCAGGTCCTCACCTACCTTCGTCTCTTTGTCAATTACTGGCATGTTATTAGTGTCCTCCACTGTGAAGACCGATACAAAATACCTGTTCAATGCCTCGGCCATTTCATCATATCCCATAACTAAATTCCCCTTCTCGTGCTCTAAAGGGCCAATGTTTACTCTAGCCACTCTTTTTTGTTTTATATATTTATAGAAACTTTTGCTATCTGTCTTTATATTCTGTGCTAGTTTTTTTTCTCATGTTTAATCTTACTTTTCTTTATAGCTCTTTTTGTGGCTTTCTGTTGACCTTTAAAGTTTTCCCAATCTTCTAGTTTCATGCTGTTTTTGGCCACTTTGTATGCCTTCTCTTTCAATTTGATAGCCTCCCTTATTTCTTTAGACACCCATGGCAGATTACCCCTTTTCTTACTGTCCTTCCTTTTCACTGGAATATACTTTTGCTAAGCACTTTGAAAAATTGCTTTGAAAGTCCTCCACTGCTCGTCAACTGTCCCACCATAAAATCATTGTTTCCAGTCTACTTTAGCCAAGTCCTCCCTCATTCTATTGTAGTTCCCCTTGTTCAAGCACAGGACCCTGGTATTGGATTTTATCTTCACACTCTCCATCTGTATTCTAAATTCAACCATACTGTGATCACTCCTTCCAAGAGGATCCCTAACTATGAGGTTATTAATTATTCCTGTCTCATTACACAGGACCAGATCTAGGATAGCTTGCTCCCTCGTTGGTTCCATTACATACTGTTCAAGAAAACTATCACGGATACACTCAATGAACTCCTCCTCAAGGCTACCCTGACCAAGCTGGTTCGACCAATCTACATGTAGGTTAAAATCCCCCATGATAATTGCCGTACCATTTTTACAGGCATTAGTTATTTCTTTGTTTATTGCCTGGCCCAATGTGATATTATTTGGTGGCCTATAGACTATGCCTATCAGTGACTTTTTCCTCTTTGAATTTGTAATTTCCACCCAAATGGATTCAACCTCATTCTCCATAGAACCTATATCGTCTCTCAGCACCGCCCTGATGGCGTCCTTGAATATCAGAGCTCCACCACCTCCCTTACCTTCCTGTCTGTCCTTCCGAATAGTCTGGTACCCTTGGATATTTAACTCCCAGTCGTGACCATCCTGTAACCATGTCTCCGTAATGGCTACCAAATCATATTCATTCGCGATGATTTGTGCCATTAACTCATCAACCTTGTTACGAATGCTACGAGCATTCAGGTAAAGTGCCTTTACGCTAGCTTTCTTACCCTCATGATTTCCAACATCTCTAATAATATCTCCTGAGTTATCCTTCCTTTTTTTTTTGCAGCTACTGAAAGGCATTTCGAGAATGATATGTCTACAGAGTCAGTTTGGGTTGAGGTCAGGAAAAAAGAAAGGAGCAGTCACTTTGCTGGGGATTTTTTTTACAGACCCCCTAATAGTTGCAGAGAAGTGGAGGAGCGGATTGGGAAGCATGTACTGGAAAGGTGCAGAAGTCACAGGGCTGTAGTCATGGGTGACTTCAACTTTCCAAATATTGATTGGAAACTTTTTAGTTGTAATAGTTTAGATGGAACGGATTTTGTCTCGTGCGTTCAGGAAGGATTCCTGACACAGTATTGTAGATAGACCAACACGAGGAGAGGCCACTTTGGATTTGGTGCTTGGCAATGAACCGGGCCAAGTGTTAGACCTGTTAGTAGGAGAGGATTTTGGCGGTAGTGATCATAACTCTGTTACTTTTACAATAGTCATGGAAAAGGACAGGTACATACAGCAGGGTAAGGTTTATAATTGGGGGAAGGGTAATTATAATTCTGTTAGGCAAGAAGTGGGTAACATAAAATGGGAACAGATGCTGTCAGGGAAGAGCACTATAGAAATGTGGAGATTGTTTAAGGAATGCATACTGTGTGTGCTCGATATGTTTGTCCCTAGCAGGCAGAAAAGATGCGGTCGAGTGAGGGAGCCATGGTTCTCGAGAGAGGTCGAACGACTGGTTAAGAGGAAGAAGAAGGCTTATGTAAGGTTTAGGAAAAGAGGAACGGAAAGGGCTCTAAAGGGATACAAGTTAGCCAGGAAGGAGCTGAAGAAAGGGCTTAGGAGAGCTATAAGGGGGCATGAGAAAACCTTGGCGGATAGGATCAAGGAAAACTCTAAAGCTTTTTACACGTATGTGCAGAACAAGAGGTTAGAACCAGGAAAGGAGAGGTCACCCTGTTGGGAGTTTTCTATAGGCCTCCGAAAAGTTCCAGAGATGCAGAGGAAA